GCAAAGAAAGCTCCTAGTGGCGGGAAATAATTTAGCAGTGCCGAAGCGCACACAAACAAAATCACACCCTTGGGTTGTGACACTAGTTTTGTATTATCATGCTAACTGCTGGACCAGTCCCTCCCAAGAGAAAGTTTTATAAAACTATATTTTGAGCATTATTCCTTACTGGCTCATCTTTAATTATTTCTTGGACCAATCATGTAAGCTTGCCAAGTGGAATACATCTCCTGTGTCACTTGTGCACTTGGCAGTCATTCTTCACCTGACTGCATCTCATCTAGATTCTCATGCATCCTAAGCACTGTTCTTTCCTTTCTTAAAAAGTTCTTACACTCTCTTCCTCTCTGTAGTATCTGTGTATTAAGTGCTGTGACTAATATCTCTGATGTGGTTCAATACTTTTTTCATCCTCTGCCAGGTATAGAATTGCGTATGCAAAGTAGTGTCTTGTTTTGGTAGGTCCCATGCTGGTGATGCAGTTTTATGGGCTTTTCTTCCTCAAAATGTACATACTGTTCTGTGTTTATATGGGAGAAGGGAAGGTCAAAGAAGCGCACTCTGCACTTGGAGCAAATGGTGGTGAAGTTTGCGATGATGCTTAGTTCCTGTGGGAGTTGTTTCACCAGCCCTCAAAAAGCCCTGTCTCCCACACAGACAAGCTTTTACCCTGGTACTAAAAAGCTCCACTGTGCCTGAGGAGTGAAGTTGTTGACCGTGGTCCTCCTCCTGGAGCGTCAGGAAATCTTTTTTAGTTGTAGCCAGTAGCAAGCTACGGACAGAAAGCCAGCCAAGCTCTCTGCCTTCTCCTCCAATTGCACTCTGGGCTGGAACCCAGTGAAGAAGGCACAGGCTGGGAGGTCACAGTAGGAGGAGGAAGCAGCAACAGCAACAGCAGCCGCAAGTGGCACATAGTCAAGGGTTTACTCCTTTCCCCTTTCCTTTTGCACCAGACCCTCCCTACCATAATCCATCAGCTACCCCAGCAACCCAAGAGCTATTCATTTTCAATTACCTGAGAGATCTCAGGAACCTGACCACCCATGCAGCTGGCTCAGGCATCCCCATGCAGTGACTTTCCTGTTCTATCCTGAGATATAGGGTGTTGTGGGAGGGTAACTGTGGGGGGATTTGGGATGGTGGAGTCTCAGGATAACTGTGTAGGAGAGTGAATGAGTCATTGGGAGATGTTGTGCTTCTTGAGTGACAAGCTATCAGTACTGCCCCTTGGTGAGGCAAAGTTTTAGTATTTGTAACATTCAATTGCTTAGTGTACTAGATACAAGAAGAAGAGATGGATTCTGTTCTTGTACAAAATACACATTTTATCAGAATCCAAAAAGTCAAAGGCTCACCTGAGCTGGAAGGCCCACTGGGCTAACCAGTTTCTATAGCCAATGACATGTAAGGGACTGGTGTAATATCACATCCCACCATCTTTGACTTCCAGCCTGAAGGACTAGACACTCATTTAGAGCTGCATTAACTGGAGACAGCTTTTGAGCAGGATTCAGACTTATGCCTCGAGATATAACAAGAAGCCTTAACTGCCCTGTTACCACAACTTGCCACTATGCTGGAATAACATTGGACATTTCTTTCCTTTTCTAACTTGATTAATGCACATTGGAATTGAACCACATTGGGCCCCAATTATAGGGAAAACATAATTGGCTCCATGCAGCTTACAGTACAAGGTACTCATCTCTTCCTGCAATACTCACTTCACCTTTTCCAATTTCCCTTTCATTAGGAATCCTGCCTTCTAAGCATTTATTTAATGTTAGTAGCACTGACTTGAGACTACTTGTTTACAGCGTAATTATGGTACCTTCAGATAACTTTGCCAAAGAAACAGTTACTAATAAGGTAACAGGAATCAGCTTAGATAAGTGAACATGCCAGACATTTTAAAAAGAAATGTTCAAGTGAATTTAGAAATGAAGGGGGAGATATTACCAATAAATGTGTGGAGAAGCTAGCTATTGGGAACACAGTTGCTTTTTTTCAGAAAGGAAGAAAGTTCAAAAAATCCTTCTTAGCTGTGATTAGAGGAGCTGGCTGCTTATGGCATAGTTACTACATAGTACAGTGGTTCTCAGCCTTTATAGATTTAGGGCACCCCTTGTTAGGCTTGTGGCATCCCTCACTGGACTCAAGGCACCCCTCTGTACCTTCTGCGAATCAAGTGGCAACCCATTAAAAAAATTAATTGATTCACAGAAGTGCTTGTCTCCAGCGGTGGATGAAGGGGGCACGTACACTGGTGCATGGTATACCCCGCTTTGATTCCTGCTCCACCCAGCAGGAACATTTCTAGTCAGGCAGTGCTGAGGGAGTCAGTTGACTTCATGGCTCATTATCATCTGTCTCATCACTCCTAAACTCTTCATTCCATGGGTGTTAAACCCTCTCCTCTTTCTAATGGTTTTCATGGTCCACCAAGCAAGCCACCCTTTATTCTGCTGTCTGTTCCCCATTTCTGATCCGGAAGCTCCTAATACATAGCCCCTCCACCTGCATCCTGTGAAAACATACCTTAAAAAGGGTGGCATCAACACTTAGGTGTACCACTACACTAGGGGAGTACATCAAGGGTTTGGCGAGCAACTGTTCACCAGGGCACCCAAGAGGAAAACTAGGAGTAATGGCCATAAACTCCTGGGAGATCGATTCAGGCTCAACATTAGGAAAAACTTCTTGACAGTCAGGGTGTGCAGACTGTGGAATAAGCTCCCTCCAGAGGTGGTGCAATCACCTACCCTGGAAATCTTCAAGAGGAGACTGGACGGTCACCTTGCTGGGGTCACCTGACCCCCGGTTATCTTTCCTGCTTGGTGCAGCGGGCCGGACCTGATAATATTCTGAAGTCCCTTCTGGCCTTCCAATCTATGAATCTGTTTTTAACTCATTCCCATGAGGGGATGCCAGTTTTTGCTTTCATCCTGAACTGAATAATGCAGCCCTAGGTCCCTTCTGTTTCATCCTAATCTGAATAATGCAGCCCTAGGCCCTTTGCCTATGTTAGTAAAGCTTCTAGTTCATTTTTAACTGGAGAAAAATGCGTGTTGCTTCGCCTGTGCATGAGGCGGCTCCTCACCATCTGCACCCCCTTTCTCAAAATCCTAGCTTGGCTCCTTGCAGAGGGGCCAGGTCATGCAGTGCGTGGAAGCAACCAGGCTGGGGAGCTTGCCTTTCAGCCTGGCAAAGGGTATTTATACCCGAAAGCTTGCAAGGAAGAATTTTCCCAATTATTTGAGTTGGTCTAATAAAAGAGATCGGATTTACCCAAAGAAGCTTGTCCGCCTATGTCCTTAGACCAACCCGGCTACAACCCACACTCCTTGCAGCACCCTTCATAAGAGCTCAGGGTGCACAGACACCCTGGCTGGGGATCAGAGATAGTGCTTGGGGAGTGCCCAGGCAGGGCTGACGGTGCCTGGCGGGGCCCAGCTAGGCCCCGGCCCACGACTGCTTCCCCCTCCCCAGCTCTCCATTCCCCCTTCTCCGGGCTTTTTGCCCGCACCCAAGATGGCTCCGGGCGAGCCCAGCGCCAAGACTGGGCATTCTGCCCACACCCAAGATGGAGACCAGCTCGGTACAGTTCTAGCGGCGAACGGCGCCGACTCGCCCCTCCTCATAGGCTGAGCCTGGCCCCGCCTCCACCCCTCCACCCTTCCTATTGGCGGCGGAGAGGCCCTGCCGTGCTGCGATTGGTTGCAGAACGGTCGTTGCCGTTTCTCCCTCCGCTCCGGACTGTCCCCTCTCCCCCCGTTTTTTTTTTCTTGAGGGGAGCCGCGGGGGAGGCTCCGGGGGGGGCCCCCCC